GGGGCCAGAATTTATCGGGTAATTTTTCCATATTTCCCTTTATTTTTTTTTTACTTTTTCGTTTTTATTTTTTAAATCTTTATATATTATTTTTTTAAATTTTCTTTATTTACTTTTTCCACTTAATGTTCTTCCTATCGCATAGGGGATTAAAATCCCTTATGTGATAGTTTGGAGGTGACAGGTTCTCTTTATGCCCTTCAACACAGAACAGCTGTTCTTTGTAGTTCCTGACGGCCAAGACAGGTGGCGCTGTGATTACAGCGCCACGGTCTCGGGGAACACACACAGAGCCCGTAGAGCAGGCGTTCTTCGTCTGCTCTACGGGCTCTATGGCTGTGCTGTAGTTTTCGGGGTCCCCCAGGAGAGCGGGCGACCCCAAAAACTACGGCGGGGGGTGCGGGCAGACATGATCGCCGCTGCTCAAATTGACACAAGTGGTCTGATCAGACCACTTGTAGTAAACGAGCGGCGGGTCCACAATGTACATTCAGCTCTGCTTGTCCGGAGCCGGGCTAAATGTACCTAAAAACTACTCGCCCAGCGCCCGAAAATGCATTTTCCGGGCGATAGGAATTCCACACCCCTGCTGAGTGTTAAACACATACCAACAAGCTGAGCTGATGTTGAAGGTGTCCCAAGGCAATTCACTCTAGTGATTATTACGGATATGTCAGTTTTGGGTGTACATCCATAGGCTGAATTAGCAACTCTTAGAGCAAGATTTCTCTATCTCCTAGTTCTGTCTCCCAGTTAATGTTTTAAAGCCCTGCATTGGATTCTCAATTATATAAAACAAATGGAGAGTTCAGCAATGAAAGTGAACAATCGACATTGTGACTGTGAGAAACAGGTGAAGCTGGGTAAAAAAGGTGCAGAGATTTTCCCAGTTGAATTCCTGAAAAAATGTATTCGGGCCATTAGCATCCATCCATAACTTGAATATTAGTTTTGCATGGATTTGCTCTTTGACCCCTTTCTCCTACAATCTATAGGTCAATATTCTTGCTGAAGCACGCAGTTAACAAAGTGTACAATTTAACTATCATTGCTTATAAAGTGTCTCCCCTCGAGTGGTGCTTCTAACCCCACCCACAAGTTAAAATGCATCACAGTACCTGCAGATACTGTCTGAGGGCTGCTTGTTAAGAATTCTGTACTCCACAGTATCTCGGTAATGGCTTGTTTGAAAGCTCATTTACTGCTTGTTACAAATGTTACTACTTTATCATCTATAGTCTAGCTATAAGTGTACTCTAAATTAGCATGGCATCAAAGCAGCTTGCACTGCCAACTTGCGCTAGAGGTGAAAGGTATGTGTGAGTGTGAGAGAATGGGAGGGGGTCTTGGATTTGATTCCCACCAGGACACTACATGACAATTTTGGGTTGAGAAGCACCACTCAGAGGGAGACGCAGTTAAATTGTGCACTTTGTTTTCCTCTATTAGAGGTTATCTGCTTCTGCACAAAAGAAAAAGGAACAAAAATATTGTAAAAAATAGAAGAATATACAGAGAATATGTATTATAGTGTAGTTCAGAGCAGAGGTGAGTTGTGCTAGGAAAATAATATACTTCTTGTGTATATAAAGCATTAAACAGGCTCGAAATATTGTTATAAATAAATAATATCCCAGAATATGATGCTGCACAACCAAATGGCACAAAACTGATTTATTTTCTGCTCTAGTACAAACAAAGGTTCTTGGGTAAGTATGCTGAACAACGCTTTCAGGCATCTCCATTCTTCAACAGGTTTGCAGGTACTGAATAAACACCTGCGGTGCTCTAGCTCTCGAAGGATATTAATTGTTGCTAGTGGTGCTTTCAATTGCTGTATCACTAGTGAAAACCTTGCCTTAGATAACTTTATATTGCAGTAGCAATAAATAGGTAATGCCACCTTTTTTAAATTGAGTCCTGCGGTTTGTTGAAGTAAAATGTGATATATGATGAGTTTACAGGAAGCTCTGATGTTCTACAAGTCATGATGTTGTGCAATCTCTTGTACCATAATCTTCAGTAAAAGTAAAATGAAGACTTATAATGCCCTGATTTATCTGTTTGTGTGATTGAGGTGTCCAACACCCCTACGAGCTTGGATATGTATTAGTCCCTGCTGAGATTTCCAAGATGAAAATTACAGTATTTTTCATGTGAAACCAGGAGGTATTCTCCTTACTCGTTCAATCTAATTACAACTATGCATCAAGCACACCTAAAAAAAATGTTGCGAGCGGTGAATTTAAGCATCTTGCCTAAATTGTCTGTTTTACTTCCATCTAAATGATATCTTTGTGTAGGTTTTGGCAGTGTATTATAAGAAAAAAAAAATGACTACAATAGCAATCAAGTGCAAATAAAAAGTAGTTGTTGGAATAAAATGAAGTCGTGTGAGACCTTATGCAAAGAAGTACAATTGTTGCCTACTGCAACCAATAAAATTCTTGTTCACATATTTAAACCCGAGAGAGAAAGAAAATGTCATACCTTGATGCCCAGCGACCATGTTGCTGGCATTTTCCCTTGTTCTGTGACTTCACGTGGACTCTATAGAGCTGCATCGTTGTCACACACTAGCCTGCTTCCGATAAACACTACAAGTGGACATGGCTTTGCACAGGCTGCCAATGTCTACACTCCGCTAGGTCATGTCCCTGCCTCCATTTCCCCCATCAGTCACCTGAATGATGGGAGTGGTTGCCTGTAGCATGAAAGCACATGGCTCCTCAGATCCTGACCCCTTCCAGAATATTTTACTGCAGTACAGGTAGGTCCCGCTAACTCGATAGTGCTCACTCCTTGGTAAAGCCTTTTTTTGTTTAATGGGGTCTGCATCCCACTACATATTGTTTCCTCAGCAGTGTGCACAGTGCAAGACACTCTGTTTCACCCTCTTCCCAGGGTCTGCCCTAGCTGTTGTCACAGCTCTTCTCACACATTTGTACCTTTTGCGGCAGAAACCCCCCCTTTTCCCAAGGGTCAACACTGGTAAGTTGTCTCAGATCACTGAGAAAATTCCAGGGGACAGGTAGCAACAGGGACAGGTGCATCAGAAAAATATGGGGTCCTTTTGTAGGAGCCCATATTTCAAATATTACATAGTTGCCCAGTAAATTAAGTAATTTTACATTTACAGGTAATACAAGATGATGTGTACAATTGGTGTAATTTTCTAGATGAAGTCTATTAAAGTTAATGTGTGTTTGTATCTCCCTTTTTCTGCATTCCAAGAATGTGTTCTATCAGGCTCCCCTGCTGTTTTCTTTTTAATGTATAGACGGTAGCATTGTTCCTAGTACAAAGTCTAGGTCAGTAATTCTTTTTTCAGTCGCAGCACCCTTTGAAAAAATGCAAAATCTTGGGGCACTCCAGTCTAAAATGTAAAACCATAAATTTTAAAAATGTGTGGCTCCTCCAAAATTCACACCAGACCCTTCCAAGACAGGGGTCTGATATATATTTTAAGGGGACACCTCATGCAAAAACATGTGGGGCTCATTCTTCATATCAGAGACATGTCCATCCGTCCCTTCTCTTTTCACATCCAGGGTCTCCGTCCACCCTTCACGTCCAAGTTCTTCCATCACATCTGGAGCTGCCTCTGAGTTGGGAGGGTGGGAGGTGGAGCAGGCCTGTAGCTCCCTTTGAGTTGGTATATGATATACAGTGTATGTATGTATATATGTGTATATGTGTGTGTGTAATATATATATATATATATATATATATATATTGGGGCAAAAAAGTATTTAGTCAGCCACAAATTGTGCAAGTTCTATTTCATACGTTATATCTGACCCCACAGATTTCAGCTGCTGCTTAACTTGATTAGAGTAGTGGCGCGAGGTTTCACATCATTCAAAATTGTAGACATGCACCAGGCTGGGAAGACTGAATCTGTAATAGGCAAGCAGCTTGGTGTGAACAAATCAACTGTGGGAGCAATAATTAGAAAATGGAAGACATACAAGACCACTGATAATCTCCCTCGATCTGGGGCTCTACGCAAGATCTCACCCCGTGGGGTCAAAATGATCACAAGAAATATAAAACACACCTTTCCACAGAATCTCTTCCATTCTAACCTCACCACCATGGGCAAGACCAAAGAGCTGTAAAAGGACGTTAGGGACAAGATTGTAGACCTGCACAAGACTGGAATGGGCTACAAGACTATCAGCAAGAAGCTTGGTGAGAAGGAAACAACTGCTGGAGCGATTATTCACAAATGGAAGAAATGCAAGGTCCCCCTCCTCAAGAAGGCACATGTACAGGCCCATCTTAAGGTTCCCAAAGAGCATCTAAATGATACAGAGAAAAATTGGGAGAAAGTGCTATGGTCAGATGAGACCAATATTGACTTTGTTGGCATTAACTCAACTCCACGTGTTTGGAGGAAGAAAAATGATGACTATGACCGTAAGAACACATCCCTACAGTCAAGCACGGAGGTAGAAACATGCTTTGGGGCTGTTTCTCTGCTAAAGATGTACAGGCCAACTTTGCCGCATTGGGGGCCCAATGGACGGGGCCATGTATTGTAAAATCTTGGATGAGATCCTCCTTCCCTCAGCCAGAACACTGAAGATGGGTCGTGGATGGGTTTTTCAGCCTGACAATGACTCAAAACATACCGCCAAGGCAAGAAAGCAGTGGCTCAAGAAGAAGCACATTAAGGTCATGGAGTGGCACAGCCAGTCTCCAGACCTTAATCCTATAGAAAATTTATGGAGGGAGGTGAAACTTCGAGTTGCCAAGTGACAGCCAAGAAACCTTAAGGATTTAGTGAAGATCTTTAAAGAAGAGTGGACCAAAATCCCTCTTGAGATGTGTGCAGACCTGGTAACAAACTACAAGAAACGTCTTACCTCTGTGCATGCCAACACGGATTTTTTCGCCAAGTACTAAGTCATGTTTTGCTTGGGGTCAAATACTTATTTTACTGACTGAACTGCAACCCAATTTATAACATTTGTATCATGTTTTTTTTTCTGGATTTTTTGTTGATATTCTGTTTGTCATTTAGGCCTCATTCACACACAACGCAAGCAAAATTGTTTATTGCGCATATACGCGTCTGTGCGCGTATATACAAGTGTGTATATGCAATCCCAGAATGCATGCCTCGTAATGGAATTTTTAATGTGCTGTAAGCATGTATGTGCGTATATGGGCGTAAACACGCGTATGCACGCAGAAATACGCTGCCCGGATGCATCTCCGTTCCATTCTGTTTTTGCTCTTATATATGCTACGCAAATATATGGCTCCATACGCTGCTATGTGTATGGAGCCATTTATTTGCATGTGTTGCATATGGTACAATACGCACGTATATGCGCACCGGTATGAATGAGGCCTTAAAATACACCTATGATAAAAAAATTATAGACCTTTTAATTTCTTTGTAAGTGGGCAAACTTACAAAATCTGCAGTGGATCAAAAAGTTATTTGCTACACTGCATATATGTTCATATAGAGATGTGCACTGCGCTTGAAACGGGAATGAAGCCACTTCCTCAGGAGTGTTTGGGCTGGTGCGTGTGCTGATCATACTGCAAAAGTCTGCTAAACACACGGAGGCACTATCGGACCAACAGAAAGACTCCACCATGTTGCTAAGTTCTCACCATAATCTTTGGAATAACCCCGGCCATGAGAGATTGAGGGGATGAAAATGCCAATCAATTGCAGATAGTCTCACAATGATAGCCAAGAAGAACCAGCACCTGTTCATTGGTGAAATAGTGGAAGTGCAGAGAGGTGAGCCAACCTCCTCCTGCCACCATATCGATAACTGAAACATTGTATTTTTCAAATAGGCATTGAAATCAAGTATTTGAAAAGATTTTGAAATCAATTATTTAAAATATATCAATGTAGCCACCACATTGATAACTGAAACATTGACTGTATTTTCCAAATAGACATTGAAATCAATTATATAAAAGATAAACACCTAAGGTTTCACCCATTTTTGTTTCCTAATGTATTCATAAAATCTTTCACACTAGGGGTTTAAAGATGTGAGCCAAATGACTCAATATATGTAAGTTTTCAGTACAGTTTTAGCATTGCAATAAACTGTGCCACAAAGGTTAGTACACTTAATACTGATTAGTATACAGTAGAACTTAGTATAGCAATGAATAAATTGAGGGCAGGTATGGGGGTTGACAAGGAAGTGTGGCTTCCATATATGTTTTGGAAATCTTGTGCAAGTAAAACCCTCATTCAAACCTCAACTGTCATCTTATCACTTCACTAATAAATTCCAAAGTTAAAAAAAATCATTTTTTCCAGTTTGATCATCTAATGTGCTCATATTGATTAGGATTTGGTCCCATTGTGTATGTTTTGGTAGTACCGTAAGAAGAATAAGGTCCTATGCACACGGTAATGAAAATGCATGAGTCCAGATGCATTTGGAGCTAATTTCCAAACTCACCGGGAGGAATGGAATGCTTTGCTATGCGCACCTAGACGTTTGTGTGCATAGATGTTCAAGTGCGTATAGGTGCATTCAGTCTAGCTGCATTTACACAAAAATAATTTTCAGCGTCTTTAATTTGTTTAGCCTGATTTTATGCAGTATATTGCATCTACATCCAGGAATATGTAAACACAGGATAAATGTTTTTTTTTTTTCATGGTAACGTCTCTCATTGTTTAAAGCAGTAGGCCAGTGTACATGAGGCCTAAGAATTAGCCTTGTGCTTTACTGAAATTGTCTTCTATAGAATTTCTGTCTTGATTAGGATTTGGTGACCATTTTTTTTTCTTTTTTGCAGATGAATATCTAGTGTGTCATAGAACAATGAAGTATTTCCTGGGAATAGCTGGCAGAAAATGGGTGGTGAGCCATAACTGTAAGTAGGATTCCTTTATTACTAAGTGTTACCCAGGTGAAGTGGATATGTAAATATATTTCAATCACTATAATAATATTCACATAAACATCCCTATATCTGAGGATTCTTAGACAAAAAAAGTAGTTCAGTCAGCAATATACATTTATTGGTAGGGTTACATATTTACAAATAACACGAAAAACAATATTTACAAGACAAATGTGGTGGAGTTTTACCTCTCAGCTTCTCGCCTGTTCATACTGAATGCCTTTGTGTCCCAGGTAAAAAGAGCCATAGTGGCTACCAAATGTGCATTGGGCGTAACATGATTGGAGGATTTAAATTAGGTTGCTGTTTACTGTGAGATGTGATAAACACACAAAACAATAGCTAGGCCTTTAAAGAAGACAGATTCACAGTAACACAATTGAGGAACTGAGGGTCGCATAACATGCAGATAGATGCAGGCAAATGTATATACACACATACATATCTTCCCACATATCACAGCATCTATTGAAGATATTACATAAGCTAAACTTTTAAGGGCAACATAAGCAATATTTACAATTTGTGATACCTGAAATATAGGTTTTGGGGTGGACTGTCCTGTTAGGATTTGTCCAGTTCTGCCCATAGGTAATGAAATGGCTACAGCACATTTATTGCAACTGGCTATAAATTAAAAAAAAGTTCTACATGTATGTCTGCCTTGTTACTGGGCTCTATAGTCAATATATTGGGAAAAATGCCTGCAATAGTATTTTTGTGCAGAGTTAAAAGAAGACCTGCTGAACCCTTACTTTGTGCTGGCACAGCCTTTAAATGACTTGTCTGCATTTAATTAAATTATCTATTTATTTGTTACTACAGGCAGCTCTGTTCCTTGCCTTAAAAACTCCCAATTGTCTGGTTCATTTCTATTCCACCTGCTCGTTTTGTTTTAAACAAACTATTTGTGTTGAAGCAACCTTTCTGTGATGCAGGTTTTATTTCTTTGTTTTTCCTCCTTTTCCTTTCCAGCTTTTCTCATTATTAACTTTGCAGTCCTGAGATATCGCTGTGTATTCCTTAGGCCTTTTGTCAATATAGAAGCGGCTGTCATTTCTTATTGTACAAGTTGTGAATTTGCAGCTTGTGTGATTAGATGCTTTTTATACCATTTTCAAAGTTGAACCAAAGGAATATATTTAAGACTGCATTAGATTTTCATTGTTGTGTTCTATACAGAATCTTATTATAGGGATTATCCACAGAAAATGTTTTGTTTTATTGTTCTCGTACATGCCAGCAATAATTTAACTAAGTCACTGTTGCAGGGATTTCTTTTATGCTGTAACTTTAATTTTGCACTCACAAGACATGTAGGCTATTTTAAAATTCCTTCTCAGTGATGATGTCCATTGCTTTTTATGCTCAGCTAAACTCCAAAGTTGAAGTTTACGGTTGAATACCTACTGCAAAAAATTTAAGCTTCACATTAGAGATGAGAGTACCTTTTTAATGCATACCTGTAAAAATAAAATAAAAATAAAATCCACCCACACACCAGTCTCTTTTACCACTTATGGTAAGTCAGTAATGGGAAAAAGATCAGTTGCAGGGAGACAGCAGGCAATATTGTGACCAGTCTTTTGCTCTACACTTGCCTTTTTTTGAGCACAGCTATCAGAGTTTCGGTTCTTCCTCAACATCCAATTCATTCACTATGATGCCATGATGTCTGGGACAGGTGTTAATTTTTTGTTACAGGAAGAACATTCAACCAACCAACCAACTAATATGCCTTGTAATACAGAATCATAAAATCATGTGTATTACAAAGCTGTGGTAATTATTCTCAAGTAACAACTTCCCACACACAGAATATATACAGTATCGTGTGTTTTTAATTGCATCATAGCCTTGTAACATATATCCTTCTTTTTGTTCAGAAACACAATAATGTAGTGGATTCATTTATTAGGTTGGCCAATAAGTGAGATGCAAAAGGTTTGAGTATTGTTTCTTAAAGCCTAACTTTGTATGGGAGGTCAGAATCGCAAATTCAGACAAAGGGTTTGGATACACATGTCAGTACCCTATAGTTCTTGTAAAAGAAGACACAAGTAAAATGGCATTTTTGTTTCCCCATTAGGTTAAGCCTTTATACACAGATTGATCAAAACCATATTGTAGAAGTATGAGTAGGTTATGTGGGAAGGGTTTAATAGTGTAGGGGCAATTTAATTAAGAAATTTACCAGAAAAGTAATGGAAATTGGCAGTTGGACTTACAGGTTGCACTTGCCTACTCCTGTCATTCCCCTGTATGTATGACCAATGATTTTGTGTTGAATTGCTTAGTGATTTTGTTGTTCATTATGGCAGAATCTGTGGATTTGTGGATTAAAAAGGTAACTGTGCTTCCCAAACCCTCCTACTAATCTCCTGCACATATTGCCCCATCACATCCTGTTAGCTGCTCTCTTACACATACTGCCCTCTTGTTACATTGTCTGCACATACTACCTGCACACTCCTCTCCTTCACATATTCCCCCCACACTCTTCTTCTCCCATACCATCCAGACTCTTCTCCCGCACATACTGCTCACCGTAATACCCTTCACACTCCTCTTAACACATAATGCCCTCTAAGAATCTCTTTTTCTGCATCCCCTGTTATAAATGAACAGGGAGCCTCTATACTGAGTGTTCTTGTTCATTCATATATTGTGAAGATAGTATGTTAATTATGTACAAAATTATGATTGAACAGGAAGTGATGTAGATCATTTTCTATTCATTCATAACTGGTACATAGTAACTCATACTATGTCCATTTATTTACAAGCAGTAATCTGCTTGTACCCGCACACTCCATGCCGGCTTGGGCTCCTGTGACAATGCACAGCTGTGTCCGCCCCCAGGAGAGCCTGGCCTCCGGTGACATGCCGGTCACAGCGCTCTCTTCCCTCGCACCGCTCGGCCTTCTCTGACAGTTTCTCTATTCTCCACTGGACACGCAACTGTGTCAGAGGGAACACGGAGCAGAGTGGGGAGGAGAGAAGCCAGGCATGCACCGCAATGTCGGCCAAAAGATGGCACTTTTAGCATTTTGCCAAAAGTGCAATTTTCGGCCGATATGTTTCGGTGGGCGAAATTTCAGTGCATCTCTAATTAAAATGTAATTAGAGTTCTGCTTGCTGACTGGAAACTTGCCATAAAAAGAATGAATTTTCAAAAGAATGAAATATTATATGGAGATTTACAGCTGCTGGAGCAATAAACTGCTTACAGCGGCCTAGTTTACTATTGCCGATTATTTGTGTGCACCAACATCATTCAAGATGGTGGTACCACACAACAGTCTCAGAACTTTTGAATGTCTACACAAGTGAGGCTTTTAAAGGTAAATTACATGCATAAAATATGTTAAGTGCACAAAAAAATCTTATGGGAAGATTTTTGTTGAATGGTCTTGTGATGGTCTTTTTGCGTTCCTCCTATAGTTAAAACAAAAACAGCTGAATAATACTGCATAATTGTTCTCTTATCATGATAGATGTCTGTAATGGAATTATAAATGTAGTTTGGGGTGCAAATGCAATTAGGCCCAAGCTTCAAACTTTGGAAGCTACCAATGCACATGCAATGATACATTATACAAATGCTAGGGTTTGGGTGCGATTAAGGATTCCTGCGTCAGGAGCGGTTTCCTGTTCAGGGATCCCTAACCTGCTGTTTACAAGCGACAGCCGTCACCTGTTCAAGTTAAAAAAACGGGTGACAGCCGCTGCAAATGCTGGCACACCACATGTAATTTGTACATGTGAATTGTGCATCCAGGGAGAGTAATTGATTCTTAACCGTATTTAAATGCAGCTGCTGTATTCTGGGTACTTGTGGCATTCATTAAAATTCTTATGTACCTGTAGCAAGAGTTACTATAGACATACAGTGGCTTGAAAAAGTATTCACCCCTTTGGCATTTTTTCCATTTTGATGCACTACCGCCTGGAATTAAAATTGATTTTTTGGAGGTTTGTATCATTTGATTTACACAACATGCCAACCACTTTGAAGATGCAAAATATTTTTCTTGTGATGCAAGCAAGAAATAAGCCAAAAATGTTTTAAAAACTTGAGCGTCCATAACTATTCACACCTCCCCCCCCAAATTTAAATTCTTTGGCGAGCCACCACCTTTTGCAGCAATTACAGCTGCAAGTCTCTTGGGGTATGTTTTTATAAGGTAGGCACATCTAGCCACTGGGATGTTTGCCCGTTCTTCAAGGCAAAACTGCTCCAGCTCCTTTAAGTTGGATTGAGGTCTAGACTTTGACTGTGCCATTCCGAAACATTTAAATGTTTCTCCTTAAACCACTCAAGTGTTGCTTTAGCAATGTGCTTTGGGGTATTATCCTGCTGCAAGGTGAACCTCCGTCCTAGTCTCAAATCTATAGCAGGCTGCAGCATATTTCCCTCAAGAATGTCCCTGTATTTAGCACCATCCATTATTCCTTCAATTCTGACCAGTTTGCCAGTCCCTGCCAATTAAAAATATCCCCACAGCCCTCCCTTGGCTTGTTTTTTTTGTGGTGCCATAGTCATTCCGTTTTTTAATAATGGATTAAATGGTGTTCCGTGGGATTTTGAAAGTTTTGGATATTTTTTTATAACCTAACCCTAGTCTGTACTTCTCCACAACTTTTTCCCTGACCTGCTTGGAGAGCTCTTTGGTCTTCGTGGTGCCCCCTGCTCAGTGGTGTTGGAGCAGACTCTGGGGCCTTTCAGAACAGGTGTATATTTACTGAGATCATTTAACACTTAGATTGCACACAGGTGGTTTATTTAACTAAAATTATGTGACTTATGAAGGTAATTGGTTTGCAAGAGATCTTACGTAGGGGCTTCATAGCAAAGGAGGTGAATGCATATGCATGCACCACTTATCCATTTTTTTTATTTATTATTGTTTAAAACAAGTTAATTTCTTGATTTCACTTCACCATTTTGGACTATTCAGTGTGTGTCTGTTACATGTAATCCAAATACAAATCCATTTTAATTCCAAGTGGTACTGCAACAAAATAGGAAAAATGCCAAAGGGGTGAACACTTTTGTAAGCCACTGTAGAATGACAGCTGTAGAACAACCAAGAGCTCAAAGGTGCAGACAGTGGGGGGAAGATTACAATGTATTATTTTTTTCCAATTGATGCACAAAAAAGGAATCTTGGTTATTGATGCTGCAGATATTGAGAGTGCTTATTTGTTGATAATGTTTAATAATCTATGGAAGATCTACATCTTTTATATTATCTGGGTAGTGTAAAAATGCCCATACAAATTTCAGCTAATTTTTAAAAGAATTGGCTGAAATTCGCACAGTATGTGCCGCTGTCGGCACCCTTTCGATAGGCAGTCGGCCAGAAAATCTTCAATCGATCAGAGGTGGCAGCCAATGAGCTGGTCGCTCTGGTTGGGTATTCTGACGGATCGGTGACAGCTGTCAGAATACAGTGTAAACAGCTGGATGCCTCGATCAACATGATGTTTAATGTCACTTTAAGGCTAACTTGTATGCTTCCATTAGCTTAAACTTCTGAAAAACTGGCTGTATGCACACACCTGCTTTATTACATGCATTAAGTAGGCCATGTGTTTGTGCCCTTGCCATCTAGTTCAGACTTTTGAACTGAAGTCACAGGTATATGCAAACAGTAATTGCTTAAAACCTGTAGAATCAGAAAGAGGCAAAAACAACCATCTTAACAGTTTTTTTAAATTTATGTACAGCTCCTCTTTTTCCTCACAAATCATTTTAGTTTTTGAACATCATATACATTTTCTCTCAGAGATGCATATCATAATGATTATTTTCGAAGACTTAAGTAAGTTTTTTATGTTGAAGGCTGCTTATCTGCACTGAGCAAATTCTAATGTAATCAGTCACTTTCGCTTTCTTTTATCTAGGGATTGTACAGTCATTCAGAGAGGGAAGAATCCTTGATGAGGTAAGTCAGATTTTGAATATTCTTAATCATTGTGTTGATTTATAATTTTAGCACACAATAGCGTTTCTGCATTTGTCATCTTGTGTGCATGTCCCTTACCTGTTGCCTCAGTCCTGTCATTGCTCAGTTCTTTGTTGTGCTGTTCATCTTGTTCACTGTGTTGTGTTTGTGACAGTGTTGCAGATTTAAAAAAATATTCAGGGTTCATGCATATTGTAATGGTAAAGAGGTCTGGTCACCCCAAAACTAATTAGGAAAACCATTTCTCCCCTCAGTTTGTTAAAAATCACCACTACCAGGCATGATTAAACCAGACTGTCCATTAAACAATTCTTCAAAAGTTTTTCAAATTCCACAGTAAATGTCAGAGCACCAGATCTCTTCTTATTAGGCATCTTTTATGGTTTTATGGCCCCCATCATAAATCACTCAAGTGTTCTGAATATCCAGAACACTATATACTGTAGTTATTAGATCCCAGTCAAATACACATAGTCTGGACCCCGTGACCTGCCAACAACCTAGTTTTCAAACTTCAACTGGAATTCGTAAACCTGGTGGCGTTATATTAATAAGTGTATGCGAGAAAGTGCTTCAGCCCTCCTGTCTTGCACTCTGGGCCTTTCTGATTGGGGGGGGGAGGCTGGCTCAGAGATGCACTCCTATTGGGCCCACAAAAAGCTGCTGCACAAAGCAGTTTAAGTAATTTAGTAGTTTAAGGCTACAACGTGTGCACAAAGCTCAACAGCAGCTCTGGCAGTGAGAGGGTTAAACACCAAGCCATTTTAAAGTTAAAAAAATCCTGGTTTTGTATAATGCATATTTAAGCTTGTTTAGGCCCACTTGTGAAAATATTGTTAGATGTCGAATCAACCCATCAACAGTATTTACCCTGTAACTGTTTCATAGGCATCAAAAGTGTTAATCTTCCACCTGCAATAATTCTGAATGTATATATCTTATCTTTTTTTTTCAGTACGACTTTGAAGTGAAGGGAGATGTGATCAGTGGAATAAATCACAGAGGTCCCAGAAGATCTAGACTAGGATCAGATGGACTGGTATGGTTACCGCTCTGATACTTAATATGCTGACTATGGATCTGGCCCTACAACAGATAGAATTCCCTCACTCTGTCTGCTTATCTAGATCTGTTTTAATATTTTCTAATCTATATTTTTTTGTATCTTGGGGGAAAAAAAGTGTTTGCTACCAATGTGTTTTATATTCTATTTGCAAATACAGAAATATACAGATGAGGTTAATTTATTTAGACCTTCCCTTGGAAATATGATTGCTCTATTTGCCTGTATCAGCATTACTCTGTTATAATGCTATTTTCCAGTGTATTGCACAAGCTGACTTAAGAATGCACAGATTGCATATGATGCCCAGTAATAACATGTAACTTAAATTTGCAGAGTGTTTAGATTAGCCAGAATGTTAACAAAAATATTAAAAGTGATAATTTGTTAAGAGTAGGATTTGGTAATATGAGAGCTAGAAGACGCATATTCATTAATAATTCAAGTACAGGATCGAATAATTACCAAGTAATGTATCATTAGGTGTGTTACTTAACATATATCTTTACCATATTAGAAGGCTAGGAAATAGGCTTCTTGCAAAGTCTACCAATGCACCTGGAAAGCTTATTTCTCACGGTGCAAGACAAGAAGTTTCCATCCCAGGGCATACGCCAAGGGACAAATCCTGTCTTTTTCTCCAGTCTAGTCTGAAACAACATCTGGCCTTGAGTACCATCAAGGGTCAAATCTCAGCCCTTGCGATTAATTTCCAAAGACCTCTTGCCTCTCACTCCTTAATAAAAGCCTTTGTATGTAGATTGACGCTCACATTGTTCCTCCTGTACATTCCTCAGTGTCTGTGTGATTTCCGCCTGGTTCTGTCAGTTTTCCAGAAACTGCCTATCGGGGGAAATTGCCTAGTCAAAGCTCACTCACAAGGTTGCCTTACTTGTAGTCATCACCTTCTGAGTTGCTGACCTTATCCTATAAAGAGTCCTTTCTTGTCTTCAGGCTTAGGGCCACCTTTCTGCCCAAGGTAGTTCCTTATTTTCACCTTAACCAGGACATTGTACTTCCATCTCTCTGTCCTGCCCAAGTACATCCCAAGTAGATTTCTCTCCACTGTTTGGATGTGGTATGGGCTGTTAGAGTTTACCTCTCAACCACATCTTCTATTAGACTGACTCTCTTTGTCATTCTACTAGATCGGTAAGCATGTCCTGGCCTATTCAGCATCTGTTCACCAGATTTGCAAGGCTGCTCCACTTGGTCTTTTTTTCACACATTTGCTAAGTTTTACCAGGTGGACGTTCAGGCCTCATCTGATGCCCGCTTTAGACGTAAGGTCCTTCAATGTGTCCTATATATCTCAGAATCCTTCTGACCCTGTGACACTTAATGAATCATTAAGAAAACCGGATTTTTTGAGTGCACAAAGGGGAATATGTCCTTACCCCTCTGTCTTATAATCACTCCTGCTACTGCTTTTGAACAAAAACTAAAGCATGGTGGGAGTTTGAGGGTTTGCACCCTGGCTAGCATTATTTCCAGTGTCCAGTTCTTCTCTATGCAACAATAAGTACAGAAAGTAAAAAATCCTGCTTTTGGGCACTAACTGGATTTGAGGTCTAAAAAGGGACAGGGACAGAAGTAGTCAGCTGCTACAGAGATGGCACCTCAACAGTAAATTCAAAAGTGCAGGCGGTTTGTGGCCTCCAGAATTTTCAGGAGGAGGCCTGCAATGGCAGCCCCCTTACTTTTCTCCTTCCCTGTAGTTTATAACACTGCTCTAGGAAAATTCAGCTGCAGTCGCACTCACTGCTTTATCAATGTATCCCTTTTTACTATGAATATTTTTTTTTTTTAGAAAAACATGGGGGAATGTTTTAATTTTGCCTTCCTGATGTCCATGTTATAGCTGTTGTATTTTCAGCTTTTGAAAGATGGTATTCCTTCAGTGTTATATTTTTAAATGTCCTTTTCTTAAGCTGGCCATACACTGCTCGAATTTTAGAGTCCTGCTGACTTGTGAGTGCTGTGTGTGTGGCCTTGCCTGCTCAACAAACGTCAACTGATTATTTGGCGTTTGCTGAGCCAAGTTGTACGTCAGGTGGAAAATTCTCAGCCAAACAGTTACTACAGCCAATCATCTGCCATTACTTGGGCATTCTGACATCGGTAGGTGCCTGCTATTAGAGTGCAATACCCTGGGAAAGGAAATGTGTCCATCCACGCTGTTTAGATTTCTTCCATTCAGCCCACAGGCAGAACAAAAGAAATCTATAAGGTTGGCCCAATGTAAGCACACATATTTTATACAATGTAGGTCAATGGGGTCCGGTAAAACTTTGTAGTAGCCAGCGCTAATACACACTGACCAGTAAATTTGGCAGCCTGAGAGTATTAAAAAGCTGAAGTGCATGCCAAAAGAGAAAGATACTACCATGTAAATGTAGTGGTAACATCACTGGACTGCACATAGCTGTGGGTGGAGTCCTCTCACCAAAAGCTGCCTGCAGAATATCTCAGGAGGATCAGATACAAGACAAGTCACCCTCACAGTCACAAGGAAAGATAACAGCAGTGATTGGTCTTCTATACAGGAGGTTCCTGCACAGGGGAGAAATGCAGGAGTTGATTCATGCTGAGTTGCTACACAGATCTGGAAAAAATACACAACACACATGACAATTAAAGTGATAATACAAGTTTTTTGTATTTAGACAATATTTGCTTAGCCTGGAGGTCGTCGCTAAGCAATGTTGTTTGCTTCATACCCTACTACATTCCCCATGTTACTCAGAAGCCAAGTTATAGCTGTAATCTGTAATACATGGTAGCAAGATCTTCCAAATGCACTTAATGAGCTTGCAAATAGCCCCTCAGCGCCTGATGACATTTCACAAAGCACTCAACCTCTGCTTTTCCTCATTAAACCGTGAGCAGGATTCTGAATACTGCTTCTACCTTAATTATGCACAGAAGAGGACAGCTGAGTATAGAGTGGAGACAGCAAGGGGATTGTGATTATAATACTGCACACTGCTGTCTTTACGTAATGGAGGAAAAAAGTATATGAGCCCAATATTTGCGTAAACCACATAATTACTTATAATTACTAGTGCAGAGTGTGCTTATCATTTTACTACAATCGGAGCCTTGTTATTTTGCCATCACCAACAGACGGCAAATTGTCTTCACAGGAAGAAGAGATGTGAGCTTGACTGTGGCGCTACTGGTGTGTCATACGATTCTGAGCACTAGTCAGTTGCACATAGAGATGAATCCCATTTACAGTTTAAAGCTGGTTAACCTTTTCAGCTCTACACTTTACACTGCAATATGTAACTTAATGAGGGTTTGAAGCGCAACTACGTGAGCTCTTTTTATCACCATTTAATTAGAGATTCAACCAGTTGAATACTGTTTTTGGAACTGCTTTACTCTGTGCCCTCGAATAAATGACATAGTTAAAGGATAACTATGGGGTTAAGGCTTTCCCCAATAGTTCTCCTTAGGGTAACGGGAGGACACAAACTAGCGTCCTCCCGTCACCCTAGGCTCAGTATACCGCAAGCTACAGCTCGCGGTATACTGAGACGCCGCAGCGGATCCCGACAATTATGTCTGGATCCGCCCAGCTGCGTGAGTGACAGCTGGCTCTGCCTATCTAGAGGCAGAGCCAGCTGTACACGTCCGTTCCGCCAGTCAGCGCTGGAGGATCGGAGTGGGGAGGGGGGAATCCAGTCCCTCCCCTGTCATGGCTCTCTGCCATGACAGCTGGCTCTGTTGTGGGGTGGGAGAGGGAGTGGCGGTGCTTTGAACTCCATGGCACCGCAGCCATGCCCCCCGCCAGCGGTGCGATAGCCGGCACCCGAACACATGGCACATTAGTGCCTGCGTTCCGGTCCGGTGCGATCTGTGAAATATAGTATGCAGCAATTTTTGCAGATCGCAATTGACCGAAACGCAGGCACTAATGTGCCACGCGTTCGGGGGCCGGCGACCACACACGGGTGGGGGGGGCGTGGCTGCGGTGCCATTGAGTTCAATGTACCGCCACGTCCCCTCCCGCCCCAAAATAAAGTGAACCGACCGCGTTGCGTTCCAGAGACCAAACACACTCTGATGGTGTGAATGAGCCCTGAAGGCAGAACTTTAATTATACAGCGCAGTGCAGAATATCACCAGCTATATAGGAATACAACAAATCCCAGCAATACATTATACATACAGTGTATAATGTATTGCTGGATGTGTATTCCTATGTATAATATACAGCACAATGTACCATAAGCTATAGAGGAATACAAATCCCAGCAATACATTATAGAGCACCATATGTGGGAAGTGCAGGCTTAAGGTGCCCGTACACTGCTCGATTCTCGTACGAGAATCTCGGGAAATTCTGCGATCGTACAAGAATCGAGCAGTGTGAACGAAGACGTGCGACCGTTTCTACTGTACGGTCGCACGTCTTTTGTCTAAGGAGCACGCTAGAAAACCAGCCGAAAATCGTATGATTTTCGGCTGGTTTGAACGGTGCTCGGGAGACAAATGCCGAACGGGCCGGTGCTCGCACGTGCACACAGCCCATTCAGCATTGCGGTCATCGGAAGCCCGCCCCTCAGGGGGGTGGCTTGCGATGATCGAGAGTGCGATCTGCCTGTCCAAGATGGGCAGATCGTACGTTTTTTTAATCACTTTACAACCATCGCAAGACTAAGGTCTTGCGATGGTTGTACAGTGTATGGCCACCTTTACCTGAGCAGTCTTCCAGCAACCTGCTTCTGAGATCGGGCCTGTCTATCGGCGGCTGTCATCCCCCCACACCTGCTCCTCCTTACTACATCTCCCCGCGTCCGCAGCGTGTGTGGAGCCGTGAACAGGGCCAACTGATCGGAAGACGATTAATCGATTATTGAAAAAGTTGACAACTTTTTCAATAATCGATTATGTCGATTAGTTGTTGCAGCCCTACTTCTAATGTCACCTAGGGACACCACTGAAGCTGGTGAAGCACAGCTGGTAGTGGGGGAGTTATTGGGGGGTCAACACCCTTTTCAGAATCATACAGCTGGACGATAAATTGCATGGGAAAGCCGGGTGCCGGCTTCAAACAGCTGCAGCCATGATCTTTGTTTTAACCACTTTAGATCCGTGATGTTTATATACATATTGCGCTCTGGGAATGGTTAATGTAGCTAAAACTGGAATATAGGGAAAGCAGAATTGCATTCTGATTAACAGAGGTGAAAAAGGCTCTGTCGTGAGAAAGGTATGGTGACTGCCATTGCTGCCTCTCCTTTGAGAATGATCGTTCCTGGCTGTCATGTTGATGCTTTGGCTTCAATGCTTTCTGAGTCAATGACCCGGGAAAAGTGTAGAGATGCGTTCTGACATTTTTCTGACCTTCATTTACACATGCCATTCCCGGTCTATGACCTGGAATGGCATCTGGCATTATAGCCAGACACATCCAGGCGACTGGCATTCTTCAAAGCAGGCCTGTAATGGCACTTACTGTTACAGCTTAATATTTGTTTCCTTTAAAGGCTAACCCCACCCAAAATTGGTTATTGAGACACTTCAGCATCCCCGTGTCTCCCTAATTGTGCTAACCACCGCACAGCCAGATTATTATTGTGCTATCTTGTCCTAGTGACATAACTATGTTTCTCTTCCTAAGCTGCAGTTGTGGAAATAGAAAGGGCAGTGGGATCACATGACCTGCTATGGGCCCAATTCTTTTTTGTAAGTGAAGGGTTTTAATGCATGTACCATAGGTTTCTCTACTCAAAACCTGTACTGTTGAAGTGAGGAGGCTACCCTTGCTGACCTCTCATTTTGAAAATGTTATTGACCTGCCTGTAATGCTGAATCTGTAACCTCTTTTAGTTATTGACCTCAGTTGTATATTGAGATTAGAAATAGTGACCTAACTTTCCTGATTTGCATACTTATCCCAGGTCTGTAACTCAAAGTATGGAAGCCACATGCAGGCAGGCAACTAGCATTTTCACCAGGAGGCCACCACTGGCAAGCTCACAGACCTCTGCAATTTAAATTTTTTCTGAAAACCTGCAACTTTTCACTACAGAATCACATGCAACAGTTGCTATTAATGTTATATGATTACAGTTCTCTTCAGACCTTGTGCATGCATTTTAATCTTGGCATATAACTCATTCATTTAAAAAAAAAAAAAATTAACCCTGCATACAAAAGTGCTATCTGAAAATAGTCGTCATACTCCCACCGTCACTAATATATACTGCCTTCTCTCCTGATCCAGTGACGCATGATTGTACCCTTACATGTCATTGTGCCAGCATTTTGATCTTTGTAGCACATGTCAGGCCCAGTCCTGCCACAAGGATCCTTTTTAAAGATGGCCGTAAAGAAATTAGGCCTTAGGTTTTTAGTTACATTTTCAATTGATGCAAAATGACTGCTGGTGACAGGGTGGCGTGTTACCTGTGCTAAAAGTGACTTGTTCTACAGGGACAACCTGGCTAAGTATACAAATGCACTGTTCTAATTCTCAACATGTTGCATAGGTAAAATTACTCTTTTATTTCTATTATTAGTTCCTTTTTTTTTTGGCCAGAACTTGATTATGCCAGAAGGACACTTGTACTAGTGAATACCTATGCTAGATATAGACATGAACATCTGTATTTAAAAGGAATCTGTCTTTATTCTTCTCTTCTATTACCTCCTCTTCCCTTTTCTTCCCATTCTCTATATCTCCATCTCCTCTCACTTCTTCCTTAATGTTTTTTTGTCTAGGTATGTTTGTTGTAGATTTCCTGTCTGCTGGCCCATGAGGCTATTCCCTTACATGCCCATTGCCCATGGTCTCCTTATACTGAAGCGTGATGCCCTTATGTTGTGTACAAATCTCAAGGGCCTATTGGTAACCCCGCTCTCATTAGGTGGAGGGCCTCATACAAATTGACCCACTGCCTCAACGCTCCTTTTACTTTTTAGTGTGTTATGCACTTATAGCGGCAGTGGGTATGCTCAACTGCTTTTTAGGTAATATTGTTTATATTTTCTTTTGTGTTGTTTGTTTGGTATGTTTATTGCATTATTTGTATTTGGTAAAATGCTTAATAAAATCTATTTCTGTAAAAAAAATAAAAAATGGAATCTGAATAGAAATATGTAAGCTGCCATTGCTGACTTGTTTGTGAAGGTGATAACTCCAGGATGTCAGTAATCTGCATATCAGGTGTTTGTAGTGTTCATTGACTGCCTGTCCTGGGTAAGTGACTTACTAAGTAGTGAAGGAAAGATCAAGAAAACAGCCCTGGGACTTAACCTTAAAGAAGAACTATGAGGTGAGTCCTTTTCACTCATCCTCATAGTTCTAGCCGACCTGTGACAATAAAACTGTCACAAGTCGGCTCAGTAGATCGGGAGGTCAGCGAACACATACCGGCGTTCGCTCACTTCTCGATCCTGTCACGGCAGAGAGCCATGACAGGGGAGGGACTGGATTGCCCCCTCTCCGATCCTCCAGCGCTGACTGGGGGAACGGACGGGGGAGGGGTCGGGTACAGCTGGCTCTGCCTCTAGATAGGCAGAGCCAGCTGTCACGCAGCTGGGCGGATCCAGACATAATTGTCGGGATCCGCTGCGGCGTCTCAGTAGCTGTAGCTTGCGGTATACTGAGCTTAGGGTGACGGAAGGACGCTAGTTTGTGTCCTCCCGTTACCCTTAGGAGAACTATGGGGAAAAGCCCTAACCCCATAGTTCTCCTTTTAAGGTTGTGCATGTAATGTATGTTTAAAATATGAATTTTAGCAAAGAAAGGGCTCCTATTGTAATGATCAGCAGTTTGAAAAATCTATATACCTGAATCATTAGCACAGCAGGCTTTTTGAAATTTTCTGTGAAACCGTTAAACATTTATCATTTTCTCTTTCCAGCTCCTGTCTGACTTTGAGATTTGCTGTCTGGGAAGTTTTAAAGATATGACTCGAGGTAAGTTCCTGTGGTGAAACTGGTACTGGCTCTGGAAGGCAGAACATGTCCACCTTCTAAACATCTTGTATAGGTTTCTTTTCTATAACTTATCTGAAGGTGGACCTTTACCTAACTAAGTTTAAAGTCAAAGTATATATGCTGTAAGAACATTAAAATGATTTCTGTCTGTGACTCAAGCAAGGTTTAACGTTTGTTCCCAATTAGCCCCATCTAGTCAGCGTGCAGCATTTTTGCGAAGTCAATATCTTGAACTGTTTTCATCTTACTGGTGCTAGATGCTGGCCTGTGGATGATGGACCCTTGAAAGAATCATGAACGTGCAGTGTGGCTTCCTTCTGTCTTGCAGTTGGCAATGTCATCTCCGTCTTTGGAAATATGTTAAAAAAAAAAACAGCACTGCAGCAATGCATCTTCTATGCAGGCAACCAGCCAGCTCCTGGATTAATGACTAGCCATGGAGCCATAGGTCTTTCTGTGCATGGATATGTTGTCCAATATCATTATTGGTATTCCTTCAGCATGTCATGAAAAGCAGTTTGTCATCCTGAAGGAACACCAATAAAGATAATATAGGGTCGGGTACAGCTGGCTCTGCCTCTAGATAGGCAGAGCCAGCTGTCACGCAGCTGGGCGGATCCAGACATAATTGTCGGGATCCGCTGCGGCGTCTCAGTAGCTGTAGCTTGCGGTATACTGAGCTTAGGGTGACGGAAGGACGCTAGTTTGTGTCCTCCCGTTACCCTTAGGAGAACTATGGGGAAAAGCCCTAACCCCATAGTTCTCCTTTTAAGGTTGTGCATGTAATGTATGTTTAAAATATGAATTTTAGCAAAGAAAGGGCTCCTATTGTAATGATCAGCAGTTTGAAAAATCTATATACCTGAATCATTAGCACAGCAGGCTTTTTGAAATTTTCTGTGAAACCGTTAAACATTTATCATTTTCTCTTTCCAGCTCCTGTCTGACTTTGAGATTTGCTGTCTGGGAAGTTTTAAAGATATGACTCGAGGTAAGTTCCTGTGGTGAAACTGGTACTGGCTCTGGAAGGCAGAACATGTCCACCTTCTAAACATCTTGTATAGGTTTCTTTTCTATAACTTATCTGAAGGTGGACCTTTACCTAACTAAGTTTAAAGTCAAAGTATATATGCTGTAAGAACATTAAAATGATTTCTGTCTGTGACTCAAGCAAGGTTTAACGTTTGTTCCCAATTAGCCCCATCTAGTCAGCGTGCAGCATTTTTGCGAAGTCAATATCTTGAACTGTTTTCATCTTACTGGTGCTAGATGCTGGCCTGTGGATGATGGACCCTTGAAAGAATCATGAACGTGCAGTGTGGCTTCCTTCTGTCTTGCAGTTGGCAATGTCATCTCCGTCTTTGGAAATATGTTAAAAAAAAAAACAGCACTGCAGCAATGCATCTTCTATGCAGGCAACCAGCCAGCTCCTGGATTAATGACTAGCCATGGAGCCATAGGTCTTTCTGTGCATGGATATGTTGTCCAATATCATTATTGGTATTCCTTCAGCATGTCATGAAAAGCAGTTTGTCATCCTGAAGGAACACCAATAAAGATAATATTGTGAAGTGGAATGCTGTGCAGACAACATATCCTCTAAACGGAATACTGTGGAGCCATCCGTATGGTGTGCGAAGGAGATATCACTAATGGTCTACAGAGCAGCCACATCTCTTATAAGACAGAATTTCCACAGTACTGCTCATATGTATGATTAGAGCCATTGGTGATCAGTCTTGGAAGACTAGTCCTGAGAGTCTCAGGCTCCATGGTGGTGCCTACTGGCTGCCAAAGGCATTAAAGGCAGTTGGATGGAGGAGGCACACTGCAGACATCTAAGAAAAGAGATGCTGTTAAGCTATAGGAACTTCAACATTAAAAGTTGAAATTACAATTGATTCATTCTGCTAAAAAAAAATAAGACCAACTGACATATTTGTCTGTGTATGACAAAAAAAAAAAATCTGTTTTTAGACATTCCATTTCCTAAAAAAAATGTTTAGTAAAGTGTTGTAAATGGTCTTTGTTTTTTTTTTTATACTGCTTGACCGTGGTAAGGGAAAGTAAAGCTCCCTTCAGTTTGTTACCTTCTGTTAAAAAAAAAAAGATAGTGTGGTGGTAAAATGAATTAACAGTAAAGACTAATTACCCTACATAAATAATGGTACCGTTATTTTGCTGATATTTTCCACTTTTTTTTATTGTAGAAAATCTAGAATGGATGGTGTCCTTATGTGGTGCTTCCTTTGTAATGGAGCCTCAGATGTTTAAACATAAAGAGGTGAGTACATTAAGCTAACAGTCCACATTTCTCCAGATTAGATATTCTGTGTAGACAGTGTTAGGTGGTTGTGTCTAGGGATGCACCCATACCGAGTATTTCGGCAAGTACTTTTACTGGCCCAAAGGCTCCGATATCTTTCCCAATACCGGAACTGCCTGTCAGAGGAAGATTTCTTCCGACCAGCAGTGCCATAGGGGAACATGAAGCCGGCTTCCCGGGCAAAAAATAGCTGCCTTTTAATGTCACTTTAATTTATTGACCTGGCAAGGCATCTGACTTTAATGAACCCTGTGAGGTGATCTGCACATTTTTCATAAACAGTGAAAACAAGGTTGCCACTCCTGTGAATGAGTACATCTACTTTTTCTGGTATAAGAAAGAACATGGTGGCGAAACCTTAAAGGACACATTTCATCAACACAATTGCTGGCCCTGCTCTAAAAATGATATTTGCCTAGCTTTGTAGATAAGAAGCATCAATGCTTGTTTCTACAGATTTGAGGCAAGCATTCAGCACAGTGGAGTGTCAGAAGTTTGTTAGAATTCCTTTTATCCATATTTGTTCTGGGTCAGTGACTAAGATAGGATTCAAACCAAAGCCTCAGCATACTCTAAGCAACTAGCATTTGAAGAGATGGTTAAAAAGACATATTTAAAATCTATATAAGGACAGGAGAGTTCCCTGGTCTATCCAATAACACTTTGTGTAGCATAGGGTTGTTGGGGAATTTGCCCTGAATGTGCTTTACTGCTGCTGCCATGTCGAAATATCCCCTTCTTGTGTTCTCTACACTAATTAGGTTAATAGTACAATGGTGCGCATAACGTTTGTTATTGCATTTATTGCAGCTTTAACCCGGTTGCAGTGTGCAGTACAGACATATACACACACACGCTCTGTTCCAGTTCTTATTAATCTCTTAATTACTGTAATTTATGGCGTTTCCGTATAAAAACAAGCCGTAGGTCTGTCTGTCTAACCAAAGTTTGTTACATGACTCTTGTGGACAAGAACAACACCTGTCACACACGAGGTGTAGTGTCGGAGGCATCATCTTCTTTTTTTTTTTTTTCCTTTTCTCTGAAGTAGAGCTTAGAGTCCCTTTTTACTCATCGTTTCAAGAACTGTTAACGGAATTTTTTTTTTTGGTATTTTTATTGTAGGGAAATACATCTCTGGTGGTTGTGCAAGGAGATGAGCAGACAGACTATGCAGGTAGGAATTAGATGTAATGGAATTTTAGCTGCAAATATTTATATTACATTTATTTTTTCCCCTCATATATGCTCCACTGTTTGATCTAAAGTGATCAACCCATACAGGGTTCTGGGTTGTTACATGATCCAAACAATTCCAGAAAAGTCTTCATTGATCGTATAGTACAAGACACAAGCAGAATAAGAGACGACTGGGTAATATGCAGGTATCATCAGGTTATTGGACACAACACTGGGCAGAGCTGTGTGGACCCTCATCTAACCCATCCCTCTGTAAAAAAAAAAATGCTATGTTTTTTGTTGTTGTTTTGCTAGTTTCCTTGGGGGATGGATGTCTTCTCGGATAGGGACCCCACGGCGTCCGTTTCAGGCACTGGATCCTTCGTTGGGCGCCCACCTTGGCATGTGGTGCAGCACATTGAGTTAGCCAGAGGGTGCTATAGAGATCCGGGAGAGTAGCATATCCACAATGGTGTAGCCCAGAAGAGTTTCTCAGGATGCTGGTGAATTATCCATGCCTGCTTCAAGACTGCGATTACCTTTTCTCAGTGCATCCTGCTTCTCAATTGCTGGCCCACTTTTCTTGCAGCCCATGAAATCCATCTCTTGTAAGGTGTGCCATTGTACCTGGAGGGATTATTTTACCTGGTGCAAACAGCGACAGTTTCATCCTCCGACTTACTCCATGGAATGAATATGAGCCTTTCTTATTTTGGGCTGGATCAGAAGTTGGCTCTGGGTACGCTCAAGGGACAGATATCGGCATTAGCCATCCATTTGCAGTGGCCCTTGACCTCACATTCCTTGGTAAAGGCTTTTGTTGAGGCGGTCGCTCATGGAATATCTTGTGACTGGATCTGATGCGCAAGGTAGTATTCCTTGCCGCCATCACCTCTGCTGGGAGGGTTTTGAAACTGGCTGCATTTCGTGCAGAGCACTATTCTTTGTTCTTTACAAGAATACGTTTGTTCTTAGACCAAAAGGTCCCTTTTTTGCTTATGGTAGTGTCCTCCTTCCATCTCCATGAAGATTTGGTTATGCTTTCCTTTTGTTCTGCTTCAAAATATCTGAAGGAGGTGGCTCTTAACTCTTTTGATGTAGTTATGACTGTTTCTTTTGGTTCGGTACTTCCTGGGGGACCTCACAGGGGGCTCCCTAAATCTTGTTCCACCATTTCTGGGTGGATTACATCGGTCATCATACATGCTTGCACTGTCAAGGGGTAACACTCTGCATTTCCCTGTAAAGGCTCACTCTACTAGATTTGTCAGTGTCTCTTGGACTTTTCAGCATCAGGCATCTGTGTTGCAGATATGCAAGACTGCCACCTGGTCTTCTGTTAACATGTTCTTTAAGTTCTACCGGGTAAATGTTCGATTCTTTGCTGATGTGAGTTTTGGTCATAAGGCTGTTATCTGAGTTGGGGTTTCCAGTTACATAGTATTTGGGGTTGAATAAAGACATACGTCCATCAAGTCCAACCCATATAGGTCCACGCATCATCTCATTCTTAGGGATACTGGTATCCATGGATATTAAGGTCCCTCAAGAAATTGTCCAAACGTTTCTTGAACAAATCTACACTCTTGGCTGAAATCACTGCCGATGGCAGTGAGTTCCAGACCTTAACCGCTCTTACTGTAAAGAACCCTCTTCGCCCATTGTGCTGGAATTTTTTCTCCACCAACTTTAGGTGGTGGCCTCTAGTCTTTGTAATGGAGTTAATCTCAAACAGTTTGTTGCCAATGTTGCTGTCACCATTGACCATCTTGTACATAAAAATCTTATCCCCCCTTAATCTCCTTAATTCCAGCGTAAACATGTTTAAGGTCAGAAGCCTTGTCTCATAGCTCTGGTCCTCCATTCCCCTAATTAGTTTTGTTGCCCTCCGCTGCACTCTCTCCAGTTCAAGGACATCCCTTCTCAGTACCAGCGACCAAAACTGGACTGCATACTCCAGATGGCCGAACCAACGATCTATACAGAGGCCCAATTATAAACTTGTCCCTGCAGTACATCTCCTTCTTAATACAGGACAAGACCCTGCTAGCTTTGTTTACCGCAGCCTGGCACTGCAAGCTACCATTCAGTTTGTGGTCTACAATGACCCCCAGATCTTTTTCTATTTCTGACTTCCCTAGCGGCATACCCATGATTGTATAGCCTATTTGGTTTTTTTTTATGTCCAAAGTGCATTACTTTGCATTTATCGACATTAAACCTCATCTGCCATAGTATTGCCCGCTCCCCTATTTTATCCAGGTCCTCCTGCAATGTTATATTGTCACGATCCGTTTCTAGTACCCTCCCTATTTTTGTATAGTCTGCAAACACGGAAACATGGCTAGTTATTTTTCTTTATTGGACTTCTTGACAATAGTTTTGCTGTGTTGCCTACCCCTCAGTGCATTGCTTGGGGACGTCCCAGTCGTCTCTGGATCTGCCTGTGTCTTGTACTGCACAGTCAAGAAAATAGGTGTTTTTTTACTTACCGGTAAAATCTCTTTCTTAGAGTATAGTACAAGACGCAACACCCTCAAAACTGTGTCCTCCATTGCTTGTTAAAAAAAAACAAAAAAAAAAACCTTAAGAATTTTCTGAAAAGGGAGGGGTCAGAATTGTTTCAAAAGGATTGATGATACAGGAATTACTGTACTTTACACAGTGCTTCTCCTGGTGTTGGATGTAGGTGATAATGTCTGCATGTGTATGTGTATAGTTAAAATTTTCACTCGGTATTCACCTTAAAGATCTCTTGTGCATAGTGGGTGTGATTGTTAATTTTGCATTTTTCCTGCAAGTCTTTATGGTTAAGGCAAGTGTGAAGAGTAGACATAAATAAGTACTCTACACTTTATGTAACTAGTCTATTACCTGACCATAATAACAGATATTCCACTCTGTATGATTAAGATTGCTGATGTAGAGGAGGAGTGTTTGAACTACTGTGGAACTCAAGTTCTCAAGTGATATACACAATTTGTGGAAATAACCCATATTGTAGCAATAAATAGGTGTGCCATCACACTTTATTTTTGTTGCAGGTTTATTTCCTGTAATGACTTTCTGGCTTTCCCTATTAATATAGCTATGGGATTTTTCTATTGCTGCCCAATGAAAGGGAGCCTGCAATCCAACCTTGAAGTGAAACTAAACTCAGGAGTTAAATCTTAAAAATGCATTTACGCACCTGAACTATTTAACACAACTATTTTTCTTGTGCATCACTCATCTGTAGATCCTCAAATCATCTCTGAATTGGTGCTGACACTGTCCTTCCTTCTGGAGGGGGGCTACTTCTGTTCCCCATGGTCCCTGTGTGTGTTGGAAAGTAGTCACCGCTCCAAGCTCACTCCTGTGATGGACTACAATCTCAATACAAATTAGTAGACTATATATGAGATTGTAGTCCATGGGGGGGAGCAAGCTTTTGGAGTGGTGGCTACTTTACAACAACCACAGTTTTACAGCTCCTTCTAAAGAAGCCTTTTCATACGAAGAGATTACAAGTCTCTTCTCCAGTCCCTTTTCCTTTTGCAAATACCGTAGGGAACAGCTTTGAACTAAGTTTACTATATGGACTATTTATACAAGATGATCACATCCTTCTTAATTGCCTCTTCTTAAGGGCAGGTTTACACCATTTTCCAGACCAGATGTGATCCGGAAAATGGTGTGAACCTCCCGCAGTTCCAGTGCATTCCAGACCAGACAAAATGAGACATGCAGCATTTTTCTGGTTGGTCTAGTCTGGTCTCGTCTGGAACAGACTGCGCTGGTGTGAACAGAGGCCAGAAATAACATAGGCATTCATTAGGATGCATTTTGGGTCCGTAAACAATCTGGTCTGGTCTTGAGATGATCTGGATGTGGTGTGAATGGGCCCTTAATTCCTTCATGACTGAGGCCTTTTTTTCATTTTTTGCACCCATGTTATATTCCACATTTTAGGCCTGAAAATTACTTATAACCCCCAAACATTATATATTCTGAATGCCAAGACCCTATAGAATAAAATGGTGGTAGTTGCAAATTTTTATGTTTGCGCAATATTAGCGCAACTCCTTATTAAACCCAAACATTTAGTGAAAAATTTAATTAAATGCCCCAAAACACAACAAAATACCCATTTTTTTAATGAAATATAAAATATGAGGTTACAACGAGTAAAACGATACCCAACATGCTCGGGTTAAAAATTGTGTGCGTCCGTGAAACGGCGAAAAACTGCAGTACCCCAAAAAGTCCATAGAAGACGCTTTAAAAGCCCCCACAGGTCATCAATTTAGAGATACCCCAAAATACTGGCACTACACACTCCGGCGTGGCGATATCCAACATGTGTAGCGCGTTCGTCGTTTTCATACGTAGGCGCACCCGACGCGTGTTTACGTGCCTGCTCACGGGGGACTTTTACATTTTTTTATTTTATTTCATTTTAATTTTAAAAACTTTTTTTTTTACTTTACTTTGACTGCTATCACATAGGGGGGCTTACAAGCCCCCCACCATGTGATAGCAGATGGTGGTGACAGGTACTCTTTAAGGTGATGCTGGGGGTCCAAAAGACCCCCAGTGTCACCTTTACACTGGAAGTAAGCTATTGAAGTGCAGATCGCACTTCAACAGCTTATAGCTGGGCTGCAGGAGCCCAGAACGGACAGCCCAGGGACCGGAAGTGATGCAATCTGCATCGCTCCCTGTCCCATAGAACGGGGAGGAGATCGATGAACGGAAGTTCGTCGACCTACTCCCCGCGGACACCAAGGAAGCCGGGCCCGTAGGAGGGGCAACGAAGCCCGGGAAGCACGGCGGCGGTGTCCGTGCGGGGCCCCTTCTACGGGACACAGAAGCGATCTGGCGACAGGTAAGTCGTCAGAATCGCTTCTGTTGTAAAGCCGACAGTCGGCTTTACAAGTTTAAACAGAGTCCCGGCGGCAATAGCCGTCTGTTTAAAAAGCCCCGATGCTGGCGACGTACACTGTACGTCGTCAGTCACGAAGGGGTTAAGGGAAATTTAAATTCAAGTTCAATTAACCTAGGAAAGTTTGGTTTTGAGACACCCCACTGGTTAACATCAGCAGTAAAGCACATTTAAATTAGCTATAAGTCACTAACAAATTAAAACTGAACTCCAGCTAACACTTTTGAAGCAGAAGCTTTTTTTTTTTCATTTTGGGGATAAAAGTTTTACATAAATGAATAAAAGCTAACCATTGTAAGCACCTCTGTCAGTGTTCAATAGTTTATTTCAAACCTCCAGTTGCCACTTGTATTGTACAGATTGCTCTGTTAATAGAAGTTAAAAAAAATAAGAATTGCTGGTAGGATGATTAACAGCTAATAAAACTATGTTACAGATGGGACTCCAAAAAAACAAGAACTTCTGCATTCTTGCTAATGACACACTGCATGTGTCCTTTTTGATTTTGCAAGGTTTTACTGTTACACTTTAAATCCTCTATTTCGTTTTTTATCTGTGCACCTTTATGCTGAGTTATGAAAACTGGTAGAAGCATGAGCCCTTGTAACGCATTCCAAATCCTTATTTCATTTCCAAAAGCCAGTCTGTAACATAGTACCGTAGGTGAGGTTTAATAAAAACCATGGTCCATCCAGTTCAACCTTCGTGCGTGCGTGCGTGCGTGCGCACTTCCATATCCCTGTAGATTCTGTGAAATCTACAGGGATATGAATTTATCAGTATTCAAGAAACTTCTGGATGAGTTTCTTCTTTTGCAGACGTCTGTTGTTGCTTTGTTTTGCTGCTATTCCTGTTTTTTATGCAGACACAACAACATTTTTGTTGCAAAATAATCATACTAACATGATAGAATATTTAAAACTGTTTTAAACAATTTGTGGGATCTCTTTAATTCATCATTCATACAAAGGTGGTATCTATTGTCTCACCCTAATCGGGTATTCTGTTGATCGAGAGCTATTGTGGCAACTCCTAGGTACAGTCAGCATTTCCTTAAAAATATGAACTACCTGCTTTAGAAATACAAAAAAACAGCAATAATGTGAAACTAACTGGCAGCTAGTGACATTATTTCTGCTTTGGATGCTGAGCTATACTCTGGTTGTATCAGTGAAGCTTTTGGAGTTGGCAGCATGTTCTCTACACACACAGCTGTATCCAGTTCTGTTGCTGAAATTATGCATTATATTCGAGATCTAGTCAGACAAAACAGGAACGAAGGGAATTGTAAAAACACTGTAAGGGGGGGTGGGGGGGCATACAGCGTAAAGGGCCATTTGTTGATGCACTTGGAGCTGCAGGAAGAAGTATGTGGACAGCTCAAATAGCAGACACAGGAGCTGTGCGCCCTCACACATTGCTTTCGGCAGCTCTGAATTTTCACAGAGGGTGTATGGATCTGGATGCATCCTGCCTGCGTCCGAGGCTGTTACCAGCCTCTGTGCGGCTGTCAAAGCTCAAAGCTGCGGCAAGCAGCACGTGAGGGTACACAGCTCCTGCGTCTCCATAGAATTACATAAGCTGCCAGCACACTTCTTACAGGTCCAAGTGCTTTAAAAAACAGCCCTTTGCGCTGTACTGAGCAACACACCGCATGTGAATGAAAGTCTTGCTCTTTGGACCTGCTTCTGTTTACTGTTGTTTTGTGCTGTGACCTATGGCCTTGCTGTTGTACATAATTTATAAAGATGAAGGTTTTTCTTAATTCTCTGCAGTGGAATTTTAATATTTCAAAAATGTTTGTTTTTACAGCTATGCGGAAGAGGTACCGTGCACTAGTTGTGACACGTGAATGGGTCCTGGACAGTGTATCAAGCTATAAACTCCAGCCATTCGATAGTTACCTTGTGTGAGAGATGCAAGGGAAGACAATCCTCATAAGAGAATGAACTACCATTCTTGTGTTTGTATGCAAAGTAAACCTGCCACAAACCTTAAAGCCGATCTCCAGCCTTACCTTCAGTATTACACAGTTACTCTTCTACGGTACTAGACTTTCTTACTCTAATTTCACTGCACACAATCACCTTCTCACAGCGTGCTATATAAGCTGCAACAATTTAGAGAACGCCTACCTTATTTCTTGGCTGATGGACATCCAGTATCAACTAGCGCTTTTCTCCCCAGCCTTTCTGTCCCTAGCCTGCTCCTTTCATTTATTGAATTTCATTCCTTTCAATCATTAGCAGCTTAAACTTCAGCTTTATTGCTGAAATACTTCAATGTTTCAATTTGAAACTCAATTGTGAGATCCACAGATACCTAATCTTATCATAGAGATGTGTGGAAGCCTATATAAAATGGAGAGCAATCCATGCTATGCAAAGCACCCCGAATATCAGACATAAGTTTCAGAATGCATAAACAATATGTGCTTTGTTTGCATTTTTATGCATATGACGGTTACATGTACAACATAAGCTCCTTGGTTTTTCCCTCATGAATAGAGGGGTTGATGCATTAGAAATTGAATGTTTTGCTTGATAGTGTGCTGTTAAGTGTACTACTATTCAGTGTACTATTTGCTTTTTCTGCTGGTGCTCCCACTCCTCTCCCCACAGACTGGCAGCATTGGACTTTTGGTTAGATAGTTAAATCTTTTGGGCTACCTCTCATATTCAATGTATCCTGTTCAGCATATTTTACCAAGGAGATACCAGTTTTGATTTAGTAGTTGCACTTTCGGCAGCTGAGCGCTTGTATTTGCTTATTTGTTACTGTTAAGTATGACACTACAAGGATTTTTAAAGTGACACTAAACTCAGGAGTTAAACCATAAAAATATATTCAAGTACCCCAACTATTATCAAAAATGTATTTATTTGTGTATCACTCGGCTGTAGATCCTCAAATCATCTCTGAATTGGTGCTGCCACTGTCCTTCCTTCTGGAGGGGGCTACTTTTGTTCCCCATGGCCCCCGTGTGTGTTGTAAAGTAGCCACCGCTCCAAGCTCACTCCAATAATGGAGTACAGTCTCATGTTTAGTTTACTCATTTGTATTGAGATTGTAGTCCATCACAGGAGTGAGCTTGAAGCGGTGGCTACTTTACAACACACACAGGGAACATGGGGAACAAAAGCAGCCACCCTCCAGAAGGAAGGACAGTGTAAGTATGAATTCAGAGATGATTTGAGGTTCTATACCTGAGTCATACACAAATAAATAAGATTCATTTGTGTTAATAGTTAACATACTTTGAATGTATTTTTAAGATCTAACACCTGAGTGTAGTGTCACTTTAAGTTTAATTCAAATCCAGTAAATCCGTACTAGACAAATAAAAAGATGTTGAAAATGTTTTGCTGGTGTAACTGTCTCGGCTCATTTAAAAATGTTCTGCCCCAAAAAAAGAATGCAGATTAGTCCCATCAAACGATCCATACTTGTATTGGGTGCTTTGCTCTTCCTGCACATTTTAATGTCATGGATCATGATGCTACATTCAGGTTTTGTAAATATTGTTTATAATATGTTACTGTACAGTTTCAGTATTTTGTAAAAACTGCCTTCTAATAAATAATTGAAATGCCTATGTCTTGCTTGTTATTCTGTGACAAATGAATAAAAAACATCATTACAATGCCATGTTTAACCATTCAGAGTAAAACCAGACAACAACAAACTCAAAGGAGAGTAAAATGTTGCTGCTGACACTTCAGTACCTATGGAACCTTTCAATTGCTGGATCGCCCACCAATCGCAACTCCGATATTATAAAGGGTAGTGTAAAAGGTTGTATATATCACCCGAAGTAAAACTGATGCTACTTGGCTTGCAGCAAATCTGTAGGAGTCCATCATTACCTTGTGTTGTTTCACAGTCCTCTCCTACTGCCTGTCATCCTGTGGGGTCCCTTTCACCTCCTTTACCCATGGTACCAATGGATATGAAAACACTAGAAATTTAATGATGGGGGAAAACTTTGTTCACTTTTGCAAATCTCGTCCCCTGCTGGTGGATCTAAAGATTGCATTGGATCTATCATATCACTGGTATAGTCAGCTTGTCAATCAAAGAAACACTGGAGACCGGGAGTCATATGAATAATTTATATATAGGTACATATAATACCAAAATAGATATGTACTTACCAGCTGAAATTTAAATCAACACTATCCCGTAAAGATCAAGAATATCGCTATTCTGGAGTGTTTACTGTAACCAAATATTGATATTTGATTTATACATTAGCCACATTATATGGAATATGCACAGAAGTGTGTATTGCAAACATGGAAAACTAACATGAATATTATGCACTGTATCATACGTACTATTTGCACACCTCTTACTAAAGATCATACAGAGCAAATGCAAACATATAAGAGCATGTGGGTGCTAGAACTATATCTGGGAGCCAGCCAACCTTCCCATGTGACAACAGTTTAGTAAAATTTTAAGATGGCACACCAACCACCCAGAAATGTTGGTAATGGAAGTTTAATACCTTAGTCTGCGGTTGACTCGGAACGGGACTCCTGGCACGCAGAATGTGATATGCGGTGATGACATGGGTGGTGCTGGTATGACAGTTTGCAGTTCTGACATGCAGTCCTTTCTGGTCCCCGTATCACAACACGTGGTCGTCAATAGGGCAGGCCTTAGGGAGTTGGTCACCTATTTAAAAGCTGTATGTCCTCCTTGAGAAAGGGGTCTGAGTACCACAAAACATTCTTTGGACCCCATTTATTGTCACTTTCTGCCTGACTTTACATTTTGTGACTACTTTACCTTGTTATACATATTGGATACTACTTTATATCTGTAAACTTTATGTATGTGCAACTTTCATTGTGCACTTTGTCTTTGTAATTTGTATATATTGCCTATTGTACTTCTGATGTAAATGGCTGGGGGGCTTCATTTCATCACATACAACAAAACTACTGCTTAGAGGGGAATCTCTGTGATACAGGATCTGTATAGTATGTAAGTGAACATAAAAGTGTGCAGTTCACAAATGGAAAACAAATAAGCATAACATGTACCATGTAAATGGTTGTGGGACCTCACCATTATGCATAATAAAATGACTGCCTAGAGGGGAATCCCTGTGATACATAATCCATTTTGATACAAAAGGTAGAACAGGACTACTTTTAATTCTCTATTAAGGTACAGAACTGTGTCGCCTTCCACACGCCAACCCTACTGATAAGGATATGGTTCCCTGATATTATAGAACAGCATCTAAAAATGTGGAAATATCTTTAACATATAAGACTCTATGGGTGAACTGTATTTTATACATATAAGACGATCCCTTGACCTATATTATATATTCATCTACCTTCTACATATACACACCCTATATATGTGTGTGTGTATATATATATATATATTTGATATATATATTTTGTGTGCATGCATTAATATAGATCTTTAAAGATAATGAATACAAGTATGAGATTACTGTAGATAATCCAGAATAGAGATATCCCCAATCGCTATGGGACAGTATTGTTGATCTACATAACCAACTTATACATACAGTATATAGCCTTGTCTCTACGATAGCAATGTTATGGTTATAATCACATTGACGTTTGTGTTGGCCCTCTAATAAACTTGAATTGTATTTATTCTTCAGAAAAACAGCCTTGACATTGGACTGTAATACATTCCTGAGAGCTATGACCGAATTGTGAAGTTTGTTCTAATAAATGTTATAAACTTTATAAGTATTGTGTAACGGAGGTGTAAAATGACATGTCCGTGTTGCCCTTATCAGCTAGGATGTGCTTTTCATTTTCTTCGCTGTACTGATAAAGGGACACTATGCATCTGGTCAACAAACACTTGTAGCAAAAATTCAGTGGTGACATTTCGTCTTGTATGTGACATTTTTAAGCAGAAAAATCAATTTTTTTTTGTATTTTCTTCATCCAGCACACATATAAAATAAAGATTTTGAAATCCCCAGAACAGTTGCATGTGGCATTACATCAGAAAAAAAGCTATATGGGTGTTACAATGATCTTTCTGAGTTACTGTGTAGCAAATCCTCTCAAGTGTAAAAGGGTAAGGCTTTTATTTCTAGCTAATCCTATTTCACATGAAAGCGCTGATTTCTCTATTTACTCAATCTCTTCCTCTATTCTAGATACCCTTCCAAGGTGTCTGATGTAAAATCATTTCCAGCATTCTACACCCCTGGGATAGGATTCTCCATACCATTTCAAATAGCATTTCTTCTGTATATATTTTCTCCCTTGTGAGTTTTGTTCAGTCAATATTGCTATTCAAACTCAAACGAGAAGATGACTTAAGGTCAGGGGCTTTGAGCCTAGTGTGCCAAAAAATGTTTGTAAGAAATTGTACCAGACAGTGCTTCCAGAAATCATAGGGCCATGTACAGCCTTACCTGACAGGCCCCACAACCTTCCAGATACCCAGCATTCCTTTCAATTTTAGACCTTGGGAAAGAGAGACATAATAGAGAAACTAAAAAATTGTTTATGGTCAATTATGCTGAATATTAGGGATGCACCGATACCAAGTATCATACTCCGTACAAGTACAGATACCTTTTCGAGCTCCAAGACTAGACTAGAGAAAAATTTAAAAGTTAGGCAGCTGTCATTTGTAAGGAGCACACGGGGCTCCTGGGATTTGTACACCTCTGTTTTAATGTATGATTTTGTTTTTATAAATATAAATGAAGTGATGCACCAATACTATTTTTGCGAGAACAAGTACTGATACTTGTCCGAGATACAGATACAAGTACTGATACATTTTTGTTTATTGTCATGTGACAGTTTTTCTAAAACAATATCAACTAATGATTTTAGGACAGTGGTGGAGCGCCAGAGCTAGGTCCCAGCTGCAACCTCTGCTCACATGAAAA